GGGGGGGGGGGGGGGGGGGGGGGGGGGGGGGGGGGGGGGGGGGGGGGGGGGGGGGGGGGGGGGGGGGGGGGGGGGGGGTCGTCAGTACGTGACACACCGAATTGTTCTTGGTTGGCCACTCATTTTTCTCATCTAACTCTATCCCCATCTCGCTCTCCTGTTCTTAGTCCCTCCCTCGGCATTCGTTTGTGTTCGCGACTCCCTCTGAGCGCACCCCACAACGATCGACGTCCGCCATGTCTGTGTCCGTCCTGAGTTGCTCATGTAAAACAAGCGCTCCAACCTTCGACTGCATATTAATCGTACCTTCTTCTTCTCCCTGGTAAAAACCTCGATCATGTCAATCGATTTCCTGGCGTAGGAATGCCGCAAGTCCTTCACCGCGGCGTCAAACTGCGCAACCTGATGCCGACGCACGTGCGCACGAAAAGGGTTTACCTCGTGATACCAATTATCGTGCTTGGCTGCGTTTTGGGTTCGTCCCCCACGTGTTGGGAAATACCATCATGCACTGAACAAATAATTCACATGATATTTTTCGTTTTTGTGAGTCTTTTCTTGTACCCCCTTCCCCCCTGGCCCGCTCCCCTCCCTATTCTTTCTACTACGTCTCCGGCTCACCTCCTCCTCCTTCTTGACCGCGTTTGCCAGCCCCGCCGTCCGGTAGGATTCTGCCACCCCCTGCACGTGCGTCCTGTAGCGCTCGGTCATGTCGTCGATGCCCGGGAGGTACTTGAGCTTGGACATTTCCGCGTCCGCCTCAAACATGTCGCTGTTTTCGTATCAGGGTTAGGAATAGGACCAAGATCAATACAAGAAGGCGGTCGGCATGTCCTACCACTGCTGTGTCAGCGCACTATAAACAAAAGTGGTCCAACCAAAACATTTCGTCATGTACCACTCCGCGCACTTGAAAATAGTGGTACTCAGTCGCACAAAATTACTCCCCACTTACAGCAGTGCCTGAAGTAGGGGTTTGGTGGTGTTACGCACAAAGTCTTCGCACTCGCCTGAAAAGAATTTTTGTGACGAGAAGGTTGGCGTTTCTCAGCACCTCGGTCTCGCTCTCGGAAGCCCGCTCCCGCCCCAACTGTTCTTCTTCGAGCGCCTGCCCGCGACGACCCGCCCGCAACAAGCGCGGCGTACCAACGCCGGAGTTAGTTGTACGAGAGATAAACACAAGAAGTGCTGCTCAACAAATCAAACCAGACAGCGCGATGAGACCAGCTACAGAGTGTTTCGCGGGTTCTGTGAATCAACAAGTCTCGCAGGAGGCCTAGTCACGTTGTTTTGTACATCTATCTGTATCACGTACCGTATTCCGTTCTCGAAATTAGGCATGATCTTGCATGGGTCTTGTAACAGTCGCCGTTCTTGAGACCGTATGAGGGAGGTCAATATGCGTCGTGAAGTTCTCTGCCGAAACCGCGGTGCTTCATCTCAGCCGTTTGTACCGAAAAACATGCATGCATGGTAAACTCAACGCTATATACACTTCTGCCTTTATCCTTTTGCACATTTCGTGACGCCACACACGGCTAAACAGCTGTGTCGAGAAGTAAGGCGAGCACGAATACCGAAATCTCCGTGCGCGTTCAATGATACCGATATGATCGGCATCATACACGAACCTCTTTCTCCTGAAGTTCCAGCAGCTCGTCTTGGTACTGCTCCTTGGCCTAGCCGAGCGTCGAGCAGGGAACAGGTTAGGGATAGAAAGTAGTTGGTTGCGAATCGGCGACCACCGAATCCCAATCGCTCGAAGGGAAAAACAGGTCACGCACACCCACCCGTGCCCTTTGAGCACTGCCGCGAGACAAAGCGTCGACCAAAGAGGTATTTCATAGAAATCTATCATGTCTTGACGGGAACCCTTCACTGCCGGTTGTCGTGGGTCCGATTGGCGGAAGAAGCGTGCCATCTTCATGGCAAAAACGCTACCATTCATGACATCTACCGAAAAGGGACGAAACAGCAGTTGCCACCGCTAGACCAGACTACCTGACGACAAGTGTTGTGCGTGTAGAGTTTCAACAGCAAAGAATCGCCGTCCTCGCCAACAAGTCAGGGCGAACGGACCCGTCCCTAATGAAAGTTCGCAGCACACCACCGCACCTGTAAGACCTCGGCGGGGTCGACAGTGCTGTAGTCGTGGTATGTAATGTTCTTGATGTACGCCAGGACGGTAAAGCGGTACTCGACCTCCCGGCACACCGGATTACCCTGCCAAGCCCAGAAAATTGTGTTCGGTACGTTCATTATCGTCGTCATTGACACGGCCGCCCCCCCTTTGATTCGAAAGATGTCTTGCGGGGTTCTCGAAAACGAATTATCGTTACTCGCTCGCAGAGAGAGGGTGTAGCGCTGCCGCCGTAAAAAACGTGGGACTCGATCAAAGCCCTGGTAGAAACTTGGGTTTATTTAGTGAACGACGGCAACAACCTTACAGAGAGTCAAGACCGACCTAAGCTGGCTACTGAAAACTCGCACCTCTAGGTTGACGAGCTTGAGCTTGGGATATCGACGAAGGCGAATAATGCTGTCCAAGTTGGCGATGCGGTTGTTCCCAAGCGAGAGGCACTGGAGGTTTGAGCACGAATCCAGACCTTCGATCTCGCTTATCTGAGGAGCGTTTTTTCCGCGCATGGTTCATACGCTCGGTCGAACTTGTGTTTGCGTGCGCTACATAGGAGAGTGGTGGAGGTGAGACTGCTCGAGGACGGGGAATGGGAGGGTGGCGGTAGAAGAGGACCCCAATATTTTCTTTGATGTGGCCCGTAGCAGGGTAATGGTACGACGTGCGACCAGTCACACCAGAATTTTGCGCTGGGGCAAAACAAGACGTCACTCTTACTACTTGTGTTAGATTGAGTTGTTTATGCACCATTTTCTCCCCCTTTCTGGCTTGCGCGTGCTCAACGCGCGACACTCCTCGTTTTTGCATATTCCTCTCTCTTTCTCTCTCCGCTTCTGTCTGTCTGTCTGTCTGTCTGTCTGTCTGTCTGTCTGTCTGTCTGTCTGTCTGTCTGTCACTCTCTCTCTCTCGCACCCACCTGGTTGTTGTAGAGGCTCAGGTCCATGAGCTCAGTCAGCTTCTCGAGACCGGTGATCGTCTTGATGTTGTTGAACGACAAGTCCAACCACTTCAGGTGGACCAAGTGGTCCAGGTTGCTGAGAGGGTTTTAAAGGAAGAGGTGTGCTTACGTCACACGACTGCCCGTTTTCTCTATGTGGAACTTGTACAGTGTAGATGTACAGGCTGGCAGAAAAGATCGGGCGGTGGTGTCTCCAATAGTAACCAAGGAACCCAAATCCTAGTGTGCGCCTTCCCACACATGTATATCGCCCCGGTGGTCTAGTGGGTAACCTCGCAGCCTACTAAGGGCCAGGTCATGGGTGCGAGTCCCGGCAGGGTGAGTTTTTTTCTCACTAAATAATCCTGGTCTAGGATGAAAGCGACGCGTTGCAAAGCTCGTTGTTAGTAAACAATAATCGACTTCGTAAGTCGCGAGGAAGGGATTGCTGTACCTTTGTCGCGATAACAACACCTCAGGCAGGAACCGCAGGAGGGGGTCCAGCCCCCCCTTCCTATGTGACCCCGGTTGGGTCGTCTAGCTAGTAGAAGTGGAGGATAGGGGCCAGAGGGGCAGACGACAGAATCCGATGATGGGAGCAAAAAAAATATGTAGTCTAGACTATATCTCACAATCTCTTGCAGCGAGAAATACTTCAATCTACACAACATAAACAGATACCCAGTATCTCAAAATAGGCCGAGCCCTCGTCAAACCTGATGCTCTCGATGATGTTGTTGTCAAGACAGAGCTTGGTCAATCGAGAGAACCCTTGCAAATTGTCGATCTTCAGCACATTCTTGTATGACAATCTCAGAGTCGTTGCCTCTGCCACCACCTGCAGTAAGTAACAAGAGATTAGCAAGTGGGTTTGTCTTACTGTAGAAGCAAACATAGGGCTGCACATATGACAGAAATGGAGGGAGGGCGCGTTCGTGTGTTGTCTCCGCTCCATCTGTACGTGAGACATGATGGGTTTGTTCACTATACCTCAGGTATGTGCATAGATAGCAGTTATTGCAGTTATCTTCCATTCCATGAATAGACTAGTCTTTCACCTCCCGCGTCGCGCGTCGTAGACTTGTAGATTCGTTCTTAGATTCCGCACCGTCTTTGCTTGATGAGTGCAGATTTTGTCTACAATCTACAATGCTACTTATTTGGTAGACGTAGATCGAAGACACGTCAGTCTGCGACATGACCTACCTGCGCTAACTCGAAGGTTGTCATCGACGAAATGTGCTGGTCGCCGTCGGCCGCCTCCATCAGCGCCCCGCCGATCAAGTCTTCGTCGATCACCGCCGTGTCAAGGTGGTCGATCCCCTTTTCAGATGCGAGTCAATTAGTTTCAGGGAAGAGCCCAGGGGAAACAGAAGATGAAGGGTGCGCATGCATGTTGCTGCGCCTGCCTGTGTCTCCGCTAGCACATCTATCCCGTCAAAAATGAACATGATCCAAAAAGTGAATACTTCTTCGACAAAAGAATACCCGCTGTCGGCCGCCTTTGGCCGCAGTACAACTTTGGCGGCATGGAGAGAAGGCGGGAGGTTGTTTTTCAGCCCCATCTGTCTCACCTTCGTGCGACGCATAGTACCTTAGCTTCTACCACGTGCCCCTGCCCTGAGAACCTCTGTAAGTAGAGACGTGATCGTCTACTAGCGATCGCCTCATAAAAGAATACAATTCCGACGGTTTCAGCATCACCAGCAGATACATTCATCGGTAAAAAAAACGCCTTCCAACTCTGTTCGTCGAGTGTGGCGGATGCGAGGACTTGGGGCCATTCTTTACAAGTGCGAGGGGAAAACGGACAACGGTTGGCGAGTCCAGATTGCAGCCCAAGCTTTTCAACCCGGCTGGGTTCGTCTTGAAGAAAATGTAGTAGGAAATCGACGAAAGAGTCGGCCTGTTCATAGATCGTGCGCACAACACGTCTTGTTGCCTCTCTACTCTCGGGAAATACTTATACACAGAAAAAACTACCCTACTTACAACGATGAAAGTGGTGATCTCCGATCTTGTGTAACGGAGATGTCGTTCAGTTCTCCGTGGGAGAACCCCGCTGGCTGCATTGTGCGCATTTGTTTGTGGGTACCCACGAGCGCGAGCATTCTCCCAACCAACGTCGTTTAGGCTACCCGTAAGCTCTGCCGTTGGTTTCAGCAGAAAAAAGTTGTCTTTCAACTTTGAGGAGGTACCCAAGAGTCTCCGGCATGTGGAGTAGCACCACCTCAAGCTTGACAGTTCGGGGGCATATGACCAGAGGATTTCGTTTCCGCCTGGGTTGCCGGAAGAACGGAATGTGTGCACTTACAGTACACCGAAAACATGTAAACCACGCAACAATATCTGGAACAAAAAGATCTGCAACATGGACTGAACATACGGCATGCTCTGCGGTGTGCGGTGGGATTCCCTCCTCGTCAGGCACATCGAGTTCTCTTCTTCCAAGCTCAAGGTAACTGATTTTCATTGGATGAAATAAAAAACCCAAACAATCAAAATCTAGTACATACTCCTTCATCGACCGGACTCCAACATCAAGCTTGCAAGCCGGCTCCCCTGACGAAACACGCGCACTCCAGTCAAAACCCTCCAAACAAACAAAAAAACACCCAGGACACCTCCCCACTCCAACACCCCGCGCAGTCCCCCTAAGGAGGTAAAATTAACAACGTCTAGTACAAGAGCAGCGTTCTAGTCCGCGCGGCGGGCTTGTGGGTGACAGAACAGCAGCCCCAATTCTTTTCGACGCGTGCCGACCAATCTGGAATGATTTCCTATCGCCTCAGCGGGCGCCTCTAATGCACACACCAAAACTAGCAACTCAAGCTTCTGACGGAAAAAAAGAATACACGACAACTTATCTCCGCGGGCAAGGACTGAAACGCCCAGTGAGTAAAGCAGAACGCACAGTCTCGGCGGGCGCCGTTTCGTTCCACATCCGACCGTAACCGGAACCTATTACTCCGCCACAGCCTCGACAGCGTCTTGTCTGCTGCTCTTTTTGGAGGAAATCACAGCCGCGATTTTTTCTTCCACATCCGTGAACCGGCTTGGTCCCGCCGGGAGATCGGCCACCCTACGAAAATCCAGCACACAGAAAGAGCGGCAACGCGCGCAGGCGGCGGGGGTACAACGTGGGCAAGAGTTCAGGGCAAGGTAATAGCACGCAATATGTAGATGGCGTCGCAACACAATACGCCCGCCAGCTTTGTGGGTTCGTGGGGGGAGGGGGGCACGGAAAAAGAGGCCGAACGCGTGCACGGGTGTAATAATGGTCTGTTATCAATAAACCGCAGTTTGTGCGACAACTTTGGACTTGGCAAACAAGGCGATTTCTCAGTCGGATTGCCACGACTTCCTCAGTGTACAACTTACGTCTCCCCGCGGAGAACCGCCAATCTCTGTCCCATTTGGAGTAAAAAAACAAACAACATATCATTTCTTTCAGTGTTGTATTCTGGTGTATTGAAGTCACCTGCCGTTTGTGCCGTCGTAGATCTGCACCGTGGGTAGCCGCATGATCCCGAGCTGCTTGCAGAGGTCCTTAGCCCCAGAGAACTTCATGCCGAGAGTCGGCCGTGGCACACGTGACACGAAAGGGGGGCGAGGAAAAAAAAAAACATCGGCAAAGAACGGACATTACAGAAGTGACAGGCATGGACAAAAGTGAAGGCGAGGAAAAACAAAATAATTCGGAAGAGGACCAACCCAGCAATGACACCGCAACCATGGGGTCATAAAAAAGTAGCAGGAGAGTAAATTGGCGAGTGGTCTCGGTAACGGTGCAATCCTAACACCGAATAGGTTTTTTTTTCTTCTTCGAACGCACCTCCACGTCGAAGAACACGGCATCCTCCTCCGGCTGCGACCGGGACAGGTCCTCGTATCGCGGCCGGATTTCGTCGCAGGCCCTGCAGAACTGGTCGTAGAACTTGATCACCACCAGCTTGTCCTCGTGCTGCGCCATGGCGCTCACGTAGTCGTCGTTCGAGTCGATCGCCTGCTCGTGATGGGGTCATCAACAGCAAACATATGACGAGGGAGCGTTGTTGTGCAGCAATCAATTCGTGGAAGCGAGAGCGTGAGTGCTGACGAAAGAGGGCAGCGAGAAACCAACAAGTGGCTTGGTTGTCGAAACCATGGCGAAGAAACGAATGCGTGCCCCATCTCAGAATTGCAGCCCTGAAGCACGTGTGTCTAGAAACGCGAAATTCGTGACCCTGCAGTGAGATGTGTGTACATCAGGAGGGAGATTGTCTCAAGAGCTGGCGAATTTTCGAAGTGAGGGAGGGGGCATACACCCACCGCAACCTTGATAATGTCAGACAGATTGTGCGTCGCCGTCTCGAATGGGAGCTGTCAGCAAGACCCCAAACGGCGGACGGGATAGGTGCGGGAGGAATAAAACCGCCGTGCGGTTCAAGGCAGCGTGCACGACAAGGTGGTGCAGTCAAACATGTTCACGAGCAGACTCGGACATGTAACACTTAGACTTTCAAAACGTCTCGTGACATGCATCTAAACATGGATGGGCTCGACATTGAATGTAAAGAGACTGACGGTTTTACCGAGAGCAATGAATCCAACAGCCAATTTGCGTTTGTCGTCCTGTGGAGGAAAAAAGAGTGGCGGAAAAAGTTTCGTCGTTCAGTGTCAAGAGGGGATTTTCAAGATTTTCGTAAAGCTTGCTGGTAAGCGTTAGATTAAAATGTACAAATATTGAATCTTTGATAGTGATAAACCTTCAATATAAAGGGAGGGGTGAATTAGGTAATTGATTTTGAGTATTTTCAGTCCTCTACTCTACCAACTGAGCTACCCACACTATTTCTCTTCAAGTCGGACTTGAACCAACGACTTTTTGGTTAACAGCCCCATGCTTACCAAATGAGCTATTCGAGCAGGCTTGAGAGGGATTTGAATCCTCATTTTCGGGTTTGCAACCCAATACATAAATCCATTACAGTATCTAGCCAGGGCGGGCGAGGGGAGTTGAACCCCCTTCTTCCAGAGCCACTACCTGACACCCTTACCAACTGAGTTACACTCGCCAATCTAGATGCGACTTATCGGACATGAACAGATACTCTTTTCAATAGAAACAGATTTGAAGTCTGACGTGTCTACCAATTTCACCCAAGTCGCAAAATAATTAGCGGAGAAGGGAGTAGACCCCCGACATTTGGGATAATGGGAACATAGCCCATTTAACCGGTTTTTGTGTGTGCATCGTTGCGGAACCCGACAAAGGCATGCCAGGAGGGAGTACCGTGGCACAGGCAGGAGGCGGAAGCGTCCGCGAAGCGCCAGCGCGCGAGGGAAGCAGAAGCAGAGAGTACGGCCTCAGGACCGAAGAGAAAGAGGGAAGCGGCGGTGGGGGGGAAGAAACGGCGACCGGGCACTGCTGAAGAAGCGAGTAGGGCGGCCGAGGCAGCACTTGTGGCGAACTATGTACTCGGCTGATGCTGTTGCGCCCTGTTACCCTCCCTGCTGTATGTTATACTCCTTGATATATGTATGTCCTTTGTATTGCCTTCGGCCTCTGTGCTGTATTTCCTTTTTTCATGTTCTCCCTGCCTACTCTGCTGTGTTGGGTACCGTGATCTCGCTTTGCTGTTGCCCTTGTGTTTGTACGTCTGGCTGTTTGCCCATCTGCCGCCTCTTTGTCCTGTTTGCTCCGTTACTCCCATGCCCCCGGTGCGTAGTGCCTGGTGCTGGTACGTTACCCTTTGATTTTTTCTTTGGGCGGGTGTGGGAAGCGTCCTCTTTTATTTTTTGATGTTTCCGAGGGCTCTTTTCTCGAACGGTCGGTGCGATACCTGTTCTTTTCTTTCTTCCATTTTGTTTTCTTGTTCGGAGTGGTTTGTACCCGATTTTCGTTTTGTTTCCCCGCGGCGTCGTATGTGCCGGGTTTTGAGACCACGAGCTCCCCATTCTTTGTGGACTTTAGAGCTAATGTGAGAAACAACAACTTGTAATATTGATACCAATACCTCCACTTGTATCCATGCGTGTAGACATTTGGATCAGTGGTTCTTCTGTCGTGTAGGGTAAGGACTCGAACCACAGCAATATAGTCAACCCATCCAACGTCGCGAATCACCAGTGCGAATTGCTGTAGACTTCCAACAAACGCATCAACAATAATTAATTTTCTCGAGCGGGTATAGCACGTACGATTTTCCAGTCATCTGCAAGCCGTGGACTCAAACCACATCTTTATCTCGGACAACAACATCAATTTTCTCAAACAACGAACGTACATACAAGTAATAATAAATTCATCGCGTACAGGAGCCCTCCGATATGCTACGAACACGTGTAAACACGTGCCGCGTCGATGGAACACGCCGGATGCTTATATCACTGCTACTGCTGTTGTTACCGTACTGTTTTGGAAACGCGGCTGTCACGAGACGGGGCAGAAAGCATTCTTCCTTTGCGGATTACTATGCATACTTAAGACCAGCTGCAGACGGAGGGTCCTGCAGGCCACGTGTGTTGCCCGCGAGAATTATCTCTCTCGCTGCTGCTTCGAGATGGGCCGGTCGTGGATGCATGCCACTTCGAGAGAGCTACTTGTGACGCACTTGGTTGATCTGATGCAGGCGTAAGTCTCTTATGGTTCCGGTGGAGGGGCAGCGATTCGCGCGGGTGACACACACCACGAGCGCGACAGAGACGCAAGCAAGCTACCGCCACCAACACAAGGAGTTGCGCTCTGAAAGCACGCGGCCCAGCAGTGCGAAGAAGCCACGCGCGTGCACACGGCGGAGGAGAGTCTCCACACAACAACAACAACAGCCGAAGAAAAAAAAAAAACTACATCGAGAAAAACCGGTTTCACTTGCCGAAAGAGTGCTGTATCATTTGCCCACACACGACGTCAAGTTCGACGACGCATGTGGACACATACGTGTAGCGCAACAGAGGGAGGAGCTGCTGCTGCTGCTGCTGTGTCACGCTTCCGTGCAACCGCTTAGACCAGCTCTCGAAAGTGTTATGTGCGCCTCCTGCTCGCCTACCTGGACGTTTGGCCTCCTCTCTGGCTCCTGCGCGGCGGTCGGCCTTGCTGCCGGAGGTTCGGCAACGGACGACATCATCATCGACGCGCCGCCAGGAGTTCTCCGGTTAAATGTTCTCCTGGCTGCCGCGCTGCTACTGCTGCTGCTGCTGCCGCTGGGCCTTCCCACGGGAAGAATGAAGGCTCCGGCGGAGGAAGCGCCGCAACAAAGGGCACCGATCATCGCGAAGGCGGACTTCATCGTTGTAACCCAAGTGATGCTGATGCAGGGGGCGTGGCTGAGAGCACGAAGGAAGGCCTGCTCGGTTTGAAGCGGCCGCAGTGATAAGCTCGTGTGAATTCAAGCAGGGCACTTGGCTCGTCCTGTGTGGTTGCTTGGTGTCGGTTGTGGATATTTCGCGTGGCTGGTGCTATGGTCCTGTCGTGATGGTACCGTGTGCTGATGATGTACCGCTGTGACACGTTGTGCTGCGCTGAGTGGAGCGCTTGGTCAGCACGAGCGCAACGTGGGGAAGGGATCAACATGCATGTGGAAACCCCGGGAAGAATAACAAGATGTCCCCTGCCCGAAATGTGTCTCTGAAGATATGTTGCAGGCACGGCTCTGTAGCATGGAGATCGATCTGCGCTTGGGGGTATATGGCGTGGAGATGGTCATGGTGTGAATTGGTCATTGAAAGGCGCGCGTTTCATGACCTGCCCCTGCATGATGAACGAGATAGATCAACCCGGGGACACGTGGGTATCGTCCCCGGATTCGCGGGGCTAGACGTACCAGTGTTATTTGGTTTAGGAAATTTTTTTTTTTATGCGCCGCTGGCGCGCAGAA